CATGCACGTGCAGGTGTGCATAGGAGTGTGTGCATGTGCATGGGGTCACACGTGTATGTGCATGGGTAGGTGTGTGTGTGCATCGGGTTACATGTATGTGTCTGTGTATATGAGTGTGTGCATGTGCATGGGGTTACGTGTGCATGCACGTGCAGGTGTGCATAGGAGTGTGTGCATCTGTGGGGGAAGGAGGGGAAGGAGGTGACCCATGCCAGTCTTGTCCAGAGGTGGCCTGGAGGACTCTGACTCAGGTGCTGGGTCTGGGGCCAGCAGGGGCCCCGGGGCACAGCCCTTTGCCCCAGAAGCCCAGGCAGCTGCAGATTCCCTCCCCCTCCCCCTAATGCCTCAGCTTTCCCCAGGAGGCCTGGCCCTGCCCCCAACCCCATGGCTCCGTGTCCCCCCTTTCTCTTCCCTGGCAGCAACCCTGGGAACTGTGACGACATGGACTCTCCCCAGTCTCCTCAGGATGACATCACTGAGACGCCCTCAAACCCCAACAGCCCGTGGTAAGCGAGGCCGGCGGCTCTTGGGGTGACTTGCCCTTCCAGAGCAGGGAGGTGCTGGCTGGAATCCAGGGCCTGATCACAGGCAGGGCAGGTCCCTCGGACAGGGCCCTTGACCGAGAAGCTGGAGGCCTGGGTTCTGGTCCCAGCTCTGCCACTCACTAGCTAGGTGACCCTGGGCAAGTCCCCGCCTTCCTGGGCCTCAGTTTCCTCATCTGTAAAGTGAGGGGTCTGGGTGAGATGATGTCTGTCATCCATAACCGTGGAGGGAGAGAGTGGAATCGCACACTAACAGATGCAGTGATTTCTGAGAAAGGAGGGCTTGAAGCCCCCACCCTGATGGCAGGAAGGAGGCCGGATGGCATGGTGACCCTTCCATGCAGGGATGGGGTGGGGTCTGAAGTCTGGACCTTGCATTTTTAACCATTTGGGTTGGAAATCTTTCTAAGAAACATCACATCCTTCGATGCCTCCTGAAACAGAGGACACAGACCAGCACCTCCAGATAAACTTCACCCAATGCCCTCCCAGGCCAACTGAGGCCCCAGGGCTGCCCCCTCCCCATTTCCTGGTAGCCCTAGACCGCTGGGTCCTGGTGATTTGGGAGCCAGGCTGCCAGGTGCACCTTCTCATGGAGGTCACCAGAGCGGGATCATTTGCGAAAAGCTCCTGATTTCACAGCTGGCTGGGGCCTTTGAGAGCCTTCGAGGGGTCTGCGATGGGGCCCAGAGGGGAAGGAGGATCATCCATGCCCCTCAGGCCGGGAGGAGCAGGGGGTGCCCCACACCCAATGAGACCCTGGGCAAATGACTTTGTCTCTGTTTGTCTCAGTTTCCTCAACTGTAAAATGGGTGACGTGGGACAGTCCCCTTAGCAGACTCAAATCCCACCTCCTCCCCTTCCCACACCGGAGATGTCTATGTGGGGAGTTTCCCCAGGCCTTTGGCGCAGGGCCAGCCTTTAGCAAAGTGCCATCTCAGTGATATTTGTCCTCCACGTGCTGGCCTCCCCTTCTTACATCCTCAGCCCCCAGGTCCTGGGCCAGTGAATCAACCCTTCTTGTCATTAGCAGACGGCAGCTGAGGAGTGGAAAGAGCCCAGTACTAGACATTGGGAGCCCCGGGCGCTAGTGCTGGCACTGTGGCTCAGCCCTTCGGTCGCCTTGGGCAAGTGACTTCTCTCTCTAGGCCTGAGAGTGGACAGGACCAGCCCTTAAGGCGCCTGTCCATTCTGAAGCTCCAGCCAAGGTGACTGGTGAACCCTGTCAGCCTGCAAGGTGGCCCTCACCAAAGATCCATCCTCCCCGTCACTGAGCTGTGGGGACAGAGGGGACCCCTTCCAAGAGGCTCCGAGTGTAGGAAGAAACAAGCCCGTGGAGGTCAACGCTGAGCCCTGTGGAATTAGAGTCTGAGACAGCATTCTCAGGCGGGTTCGGGTTGGGGGTAAGGGTGCAGGGGGGTGCAGTATGTTTTACTTGCCTACAGGGCTGAGGATGAATTCTCAGGGCGCCCTCCCTCCCACCCAGGTTGGCTGTAGGGCCAGGCAGAAGCCCGGAGAAGGGCGGCCCTTGGGCCCCGGGTCTGACTTAGGGGTGCTGTGTTCATTCTGGGTCCTCAGCGTCAATCTGGCCAAAGAGGAGCAGAAGAAAAACAGAAAGAGGCTGAAAAAGCACATCTTTGCAGCAGCAGCAGAGGGCAGCGTGGAGGAGCTGAGCGGACTTCTTGGCGAGCTCAGGGAGCTGTCCAGGAGGCGCCGGACCATGGACCCGCCGGGTCAGTGCCAGCCTCCCTCAAGGCCCCCTCCCTCCCTTCCCTCCTCCCCTTCCTCCCTCCCTCTCTCTCATTCTCCCTCCTCCCTCCAATCTTCCCTCTCTGCCTCCTCCCTCCCCCTCCCTCCCTCCCTCCCTCCCTCCCTCCTTCCCTTCCCCTCCACTCTGCAGGGTCCATTGTGGGATATTGGGTGGGGGATGGGCTGGGGCAGGGCTATAAAATTTTTTTTTCTCCCTAGTCCAACCAGCATTATTAAGCACCTTCTGTGTGTGAAGCACTGTGCTACACATTGGATATACAAGGACAGGAATGGCTCTGTGCTTGCCCTCAGGGAGCTTCCATTCTCTGGCAGTGGGAGAAGCAGACATGAGTTCATTCATTCATTCATCCATTCCCTAAACATTTATTGAGCACCTCCTGTATATCCTGTATGATCCAGGTCCTGTGCCCACCCTGGGACGCAGCCCTTCCCCTTGCCTCTGGCCTTACTGGGTCCTAAGACCCAAAGGCCAGAGAACCTGGACCCCCAACTATCCACGGTAACCGTGGCTGGGAATCCAGCATGCTTCTGGCACAGGGAGCTGCCTGCCCCGGTGCACGAGGAAGCGCTTACGTCTGCCGCGATCTTAGCACAGGCAGGAGCAGCGTGAGGTGGGGTGGGTGGGCCTGGAGCTGGGGCCAGGACCTTCCGTCACTGGCATGTCCATGTCACAGACTACCTGATGCACAAGCTCACAGCCTCTGACACAGGGAAGACATGTCTCATGAAGGCCCTGCTGAACATTAACCCCAACACCAAGGACGTTGTGAGGACCCTGCTCGCCTTTGCTGAGGAAAATGATATATTGGAGAGACTCATCAATGCAGAGTACACAGAGGAGGCCTACAGAGGTGGGGTGCTGGGTCTCTTCCCTGTTGGGGTCCTGGGTGGGCATGAGGGAACCAAGGTGCCCCCCAGGCTGCCCCTGACACCCTGGCACCTGGAACCCCCACCCTAGAACAGGTTCTGTTGTAACCATCTGTCTGGTAGGGAAACTGAGGCCTGAAGCAGTGACATGGTGGGCCCAAGGTATCAGGGGCTACGACTGGGAGCCAGGCTGGCAGCTGAAGGAGCCAGGGCCAGCTCCCATCTCTATGCCTTACTAGCTGTACATTGGAGCGAGTCCCCTGCCCCCTCTGGTTCCCATCCTCTCCTAGGCAAAATGAGGGGTTGACACTGTCCAGGGGATGGATCTCTACGGACCTCAAACCCCAGACACTGGGGAGTGAGAACATTCTGGGGATGCCCAGGCCTGCCCTGTCCTTGCCCCCCACCTCTGATGGGTCTGCCCTGGTTTGTTGTAGGACAGACGGCCTTGAACATCGCCATTGAGCGCAGACAGGTGACCATCACCGAGGCCCTGATCGAGAAGGGGGCTGATGTCAATGCCCATGCCAAGGGTTTATTCTTTAACCCCAAGCACAAGCATGAAGGCTTCTACTTTGGTAGGTGGGGGCTCTCAGCAGCCAGTCCTGAGGGGAGCTGGGGTCACCCAGAGTAGTTGGAGAGTAGGTAGCGTTGGTACTACCACCCCACCCCTTACCAAACCAAGCTTTCTCTGATCTCTTTGGGGCACAGACATAGTCACTGGGTCAAAGTTTAGAAGCTTTGGGATCATTGTCCCAAACGGCTTTCCAGAATGGCTGGAGCAGTCTGCAGATTCACCATCAATGCATCAGTATGCCTATTTTCCCACAGGCTCTCCAGCATTTGTCATTCTCCTTTTTTTTTTTGGTGAACTGCCAATTTGATGGGTTTGAGGTAGAACCTTGAAGTTGCTTTAATTTGCCTTTCTCTAATTACTAGTGATTTGTAGCACTTTTTTTAATATGGCTATTGATAGCTTGCATTTCTTCCTTAGAAACTGCCCATTAATATCCTTTGGCCATTTGTCAATTGGGGAATGATTTTCAATCTGGGAAATGAGACCCTTACCAGAGAAATGTGCAAAGACTATCTATCTGTCTCCCTACTAATTTAGCTATTTTGGTTTTGTGTAAAAACTTCAAATTTTATCTAATCAAAATTGCCCATTTTCTCTTTCATGGTTGTCTCTGTCCTTTCTTTGTCTATAAACTTGCCCCCATACATTGATAGAGAAGGTCTTCTTCGCTTGTCTCACTTGTTCATGATGTTACGTCATCCCTTATGTTTAGCTCATGTGCACATTTGGAGCTCATCTTGGTGTATGGTGTAAGATGCTGGTCCATTCTTTGCTTCTGCCAGCTGCTTTCCAGTTTGCCAGTGATTTTTGTCAAATAGTAAGTCTTTCCTCTAGGAGCTGAGATCTCAGGCTGCTGCACTCCTTTGCTTTTGTGTGCTGTGCACCTAATCTGTTCCACTGATCAAATTGTTTCTAATCCACTACCAAATCATTCCGATTAGTCCTACTTTGTGCTGTGGTTTGAGATCTGGTCCTGCTAGGCGCCAACCCTTCCCCCCCCCTTTATTTTTTCTTCATTTGTTGTCAATTATTCTTTTTCATTTTTATACTGTTAATCTGAGTTTTATCTCTTTTCTTTCTTTCTTTCTTTAACTGTTGGCTAATGGCTTATAAATTTTTTTCAAAATAACTTCTAAATTAATTGATTTTTGTTTCAATTTTGTTAATCTGTTCTTTGATTTTCAGATTTTCTGTTTTGACATTTAATTGGATTGTTTTAGTTTGTTGGGTTTTCTGGTTTTAAATGCATACCCAGTTCATTGATTTGTTCTTTCTTTTATAGATTAAAATGGTTCAAGATATAAATTTTCCCCTAAGAGATGCTCTAACTGCATCCCCAAAATTTTGATGCTTTCTCATTGTTGCCATTATCTTTAATGAAATTATCTATTGTTTCAGTAACTTATTATTTGACCTACCAATTCTTAGAACTAAGTTATTTAGTCTCCAATTGCTTAATCATTTCCTCAATAGCCTTGTATTAAATACAATTTTATTGCATTATGGCCCATTAAAGATCTATTTAGTATTTCTGCTTCTCTGCATTTGTGAGGGTTCTATGACCTAATACATGGTCAGTTTTTGCAAAGATGATATGTGTACAGCTGAGGACTATGTATACTTCTTTCTAATACCATTCATAATCACCAGGGGTCTATGAAATCTAACTTTCCCAGAATTCTCTTCAGGTCCTTAATTTCTTTCTTTTTTATTTTTTGGTTAGATTTTTCTAGATTTGAAAGGGGTACTTGTGGGCTTCACTATTTTAGTTTTTGCTGTTTTTTGATTGTTTCAGTCATGTTGGACTCTCTATGAACCCATTTGGGGTTTTCTTGGTAAAGATACTGGAATGGTTTGCAATTTCCTTCTCCAGCTCATTTTACAGATGAGGAAACTGAGGCAAATAGGATTAAGTGACTTGACCAGGGTCACACAGCTAGTAAGTGTCTGAGGCCAGATTTGAACTCATGAAGATGGGTCATCCAGATTCCAAGCCCAATGCTCTATCCACTGCACCACTTAGCTACCCAGCTAATTTAAAAACTAAATATTTTTGTTTTACTGTCTATTTTTCCTTGCAACTCATTCAGATTTTCCTTTAAGTATTTAGATACTGTGCCATTTGGTGCATATTTGTTAATTAATTTTCATTATTAATTGTATATGGTACCTTTTATATTTATTATTAATTATTTATATTAATTAATTGTATATGGTACCTTTTAACATAATTTATCACTTTTAATGATTTTTGATGTTGATGTTGCTCTATCTGAGATCATGATTGCTACGCTTGCTTCTTTTTTTTTTTACTTCAGTTGAAGTAAAATAATTTTACCCCAGCTCCTTATTTTAACTCTTTGTGAATCTTTATGTTTCCAGTATGTTTCTTGTAAATAACATACTGTTGAATTCTACTTTCTTGTCCATTCTGCTGTCCTCATTCATTTTATGGGTGTGTTCATCCTATTCACATTCGCAGTTAGGGTTATTAATTGGTGCATCTCCTTCCATCCTATTCTCACACTTTTTCCTCTCTGTGCCCAGTCATGATATGGTCCATGCCTGGTGTGGTCAGCTCCCTGGCCTTTCTTCTGTTTCCCTTGCCAAGAGCCCAGTCCCAGATTCTTTCCCTTTCATTCCTTCCTGTTTCCCTGCTGAGTGAAATGTTGTTCTGTACCCACTGTGCATTTGTGTGTCAGCGTTCTACCCTCCTGAGGCCAGTTCCAATGACAGTAAGATCACAAGGGTCCTAGTGGACACTTGCATCATCTCTCCATTAGAAAGTAAACACTGCATGAGTATTCACTCCCTTCTGGATTGCACACTCTTATTTACCTTTTTAATGCTTCTTTTGGCCCCTGTGTTTGTGTTTTAAAATTTCTATGCAGTTCTGTTTTTTGTTTTTTATCAAGAATTCTTGGAAATCCTTTGATTCATTAAAGGTCCATCCTCCGCCCCCCCCCCCCTCCCCTGCCAACTCTCATAGAGTTATACTCAGTTTTGCTGGGTAAGTTACTCCTGGTTGCAAGCCTAGATCTTTTGTCTTCTGGGGTTTCATCTTTCCAAGCTCTCTGGTCCTTTAGAGACCTTTCCAGGCTTTGTAGCCTTTACTGCCCTCCATGTCTTCCATAATCGAGCACCACTGGCCCCTGGCCATTCTTCTGTAAGAATCTCCATTTCCAGTTCTTTACCTTTCCCCAGCATCCTCTGCCTGGAGGGCTCTCCTGCCTCACCTCCGACTGTCTCCTGGCTCCTCTGATTGATTTGAAGGGATAACTCCTAAATCTTGTGCCGGCAACAAGGGGATGCCATAGTGCACAGAGCACCAGGCCCGGAGTCAGGAAGACTCCTCTTCCTGAATTCAAATCCAGCCTCAGACATAAAACTGTATGACCCTGGGCAAGTCACTTCACCCTGTCTGCCTCAGTTTCCTCATCTGTAAAATGAGCTAGAGAAGGAAATGGCCAATTGCTCCAGTATCTTTGCCAGGGAAACCCCAAATGGGGTCATGAAAAGCTGGACAGGGCTGAACAACAACAAATCTTGTGTGACCCTGACTGTGGCTCCTTAGGACCTGAACTCTTTCTGATGGCTTATGGGAATTTTTCCTTGACTTGGAAGCTCTGAGTTTTGGCTGAGGTGTTCCTGGGAGGTTCCTTCAGGAGGTAACCAGCAGACACTTTGTTCTTTGCCCTCTACCTGCTAAGAGATTTTTCTTTCAGTGTTTCTGCCAATAGGATGTCCAGGATCTTTTTTTGGTCATGGCTTTTAGGCATTCCAGTCATTCTTTAATTGTTTCTCCTTGATGGGTTTTCCAGAAGTTATTTTCTATATGGGATACCTTACATTTTCTTGTATTTTTTTTCAGCCTTTTGACTGTTTTAATATTCTTGTTGTCTCATGGAGTCTTTAATGTCTGTTTGGCCCATTCTAGTTTTGGGGGAGTCTATTTCTTGTCTAAGTTTTTTTTTTTAACCTCTTGTGCAAAACTGTTAATTTCCCTTTCAAGTCTTTCCTCCAGTGTTCTAATTTCTTTTCCAATTCTTTTGTCCAGAACTCTTGTTTCATTTGTAAACTCATTTTAAAACTTTTGCTTCATTTTTTCCCAGTGATTCTAGTTGAATTTGTGTCCAAGTTGTGTTTTGTTTTGAGTCTATGCTTGTAGATATATTAGAATTTTTCTTTTCTTCTGGGTTTCTTCCCTGGGTTTCCCTGTCACCATAATAGCTCTCTAATGGTGGGACTTGTGTGTTTACTCTTTTTTCCAGCCTTACTTCCAGAAATGGGACTTGTGTTAGGGCTAGGCTCTGCCCACTTCTAGAGGGAATGTTGGGCTCCTTGTTTGGTCCTGATTTGTATTCTTGGGTCCTGGTATTGCTTCCTCCAGGTTCTGAGTGTCTGCCAGGGATCTCAGGGCAGCTCAGGCTGGAGATATGTGAGCTTTCACTGTTCTTAAAGTGGTCTGGTCTAGGAAAAAGTCTGCTCACTGAACTTCTGGTCTGAGCTTTGTAGGCTCCTGACCCCAGGCTGGATCTGGGCAGCACAACTCTGTGCTTGCCCCCAGCTGAAGCCCCAGTAGATACTGGAAGGCCCTGCAGGCTCAGAGGGACAGAGCTCTCCCCCGGGTGTGAGCTCCCTCACTTGGTTACTAAGCCACAAAAGTCTGACCAGGCTGAAGAGTGAATCCAAGGCCTGCCTCTGACCAGAGTCAGAGCCATACACCTACTGCTTTTTTCTGTTCCCCCTCCTTGCCCAGTACATGGCCTGTACCCCCTGCTGCCTCTAGGGGCATTTTACACTGTGGGTATATGTGAACTCCCCCTGGGGTACACACAGTGGGGTTGCCACTAGCCTCCTGTCCCTGTGTCCAGCACTGTCAGACCTATCAGCCCCTCCTTGCTGGCTCTGGGATTGTTTCTGAGCTGGCCTGCTTTGCCCCTTCCTGGGGTGATCTGATGGCCCCCTGGTGCCAGATGCGCACCATATTGGTGCTGGGCCTCCCTGGGCACTGGGATCGAAGGCATGCACCTCTGTGCCCAGCAGTCCCCATTTACCAGGTTTGGAGACTGGTCAGAGGAAGGTCAGCGCCTTGTGCAGGGCCATAGAGGGAGTGAGGGTCAGAGCTGGGACTCCAAGCCAGGCCTCCCAACCCAAGACAAGCCCTCTTCCTATTGCAGTCTCCTGCCAGCCCAGGACCCAGAATTCAGAAGCAGCGTGATGGACAGCTGGCTAGCCAAGTCACACAGGTGTCTGCACATGCCAGGCTGAAGGAACTCTGTGGGTCTACATCTGCTCAAACTATAGCTCACAAACCCCTGCCGGTGGATTTACCTTCCCTGTTAGCCAGAGGATACACTCAATTAAAATCAAAGGTCTTTAAAGAAATAGCCCAGGAAGAAAGGAAGAATAGAGCTTCACCCCATGTCCCTGGGCACATTCCACTTAAGGAATATGCAGTGTGGCCGGGGCACTGACACGGACAGGTGCACTGTGGGGACTGAGGATGGTGAAGGCGCTCGCAGGGAGGGGTGGCTCATGTCTTCTGGGGATGTCATTGGGCCTGTGGGGCTCATGCAGTAAACACCTCACCTGAATGCGTGGGGTCTGCCGAGTGAGTCATCCCTAGGTGGCCTTGCTCCTTGCTGGCCTTGAGGTCACTGTTGCACTGCTGGCCACTGCTCCCCCCATCTCCTGGTCACTGCTCTGATGGCCACACATGGTCACTGTGGTCGCTGCTCTGCTGGTCTCCTGGTCACCACTGGTCACTGCTCTGCTGGTC